TCAATTCAATAGCGAGGCAGGAATGTGACCTTTTAGACCACAATTTCCAAGTGCTAAAACCACAAGGCTCTTGAAGCCTGCTGTTAAACTATGTGGAATTTCCTCGCCATGAAAATTTTTTGTAAGGATAACAGTGGTGAGACTTTTGCTCTTCTGCAGTACATAAAGTGCCCCAGATAAGTTCTCAAAGCTATTGTTCGACAAAGACAGAGTCAAAAGTGAAGTGAGGTTTGCATAGCTCTCTGGAATATAGCCAGTTAATTCATTTTTAGCAAGGCTTAACATTGTCAATTCATGGCAATATGACAGGGAGTTTGGAAGGGATCCATTAAAATGATTGCTACCAAGGTCCAAGGTGAAAAGACTAGACAATCCAGTGAAATTGAGACCAACAGAACCTGTCAAAGAATTATTTCGAAGATCAAGCACTCGAAGTTTTGAGCATAACGCCAAGGTGGAAGGCAATGATCCAGAAAATGAATTGGAGTGTCCTATTAATTGTTCAAGGTCCAAAAGATTCCCAAAAACATTCGGGAGTTCCCCTGAAAACCGATTTCCAAAAACTATTAGAGATTTTAGGTTTGAGAGGTTACTTAGCTCCTTGCTTAACTGACCAGAGAAGTTGTTCACAGAGACTGAGAGCTGCTCCAAGGCTGACATTGCATACAAAGAATCAGGGAGAGGGCCAGAAAATAAATTGGAATCCAAATGCAACTCTTGGAGAGATCTGCTACAGTTGCCCAACCATTCAAGAACACCAGCAAAATGGTTTTTGGATATATCAAGAATCTGAACACCCTTGGAGGAGCTGCAAATTTGGGAATTGAACTGGCCAGTGAATGAATTGTTGCTTATGTTGAGTGCAAGGAGATGTTGTAATCCCCCAAAATGGGAGAGGTCTCCAACAAATGAATTGCTAGAAATGTTTAGTACTTGAATGGATTGCAAATGAGAAAGAGCCCCACCAACAGGTCCAGACAGCATATTATGGCTCAAGTCAAGAACTTTTAACTGCTTCATATTAGATAATTCAGAAGGCAATCCACCTTGGAGACGATTGAACGAAAGATTGAGCACCTTTAGCTCATCTAGATGGGCTAAAGAGCTTGAAATCGTGCCGTTTAGACCCATTCCAGGTAAAATCAACTTGGAAACTCTACTAACAGCTGCTCCATCAACCACATCATTACAAACAACTCCAACCCATTTGCAGCATGCAACATCATCTGACCATGCTGTGATGATAGACCCTTTTGTAAGGTTGCCTGCAAATTCCTTCAGGGCCAATAGATCATGCTTGTCACAGGATCTGGCTGGGGTTTCAAGTCCCACAGAAAAGCAAATAAAGCAAGCCAAGAAACCCCATTGCACAACAAAAGCCATAGAGTAACATCTTTGCAGCACCATTTCCCAAACCAAAAGAGATAATATATATGTATGTCACCTTCAAATCAAGATTAAGCTCCCATTAGAAACATCAGAAGCTACCACCACCAGAAATCAGTGATTTTCACAGCTCAGAAGAACCCAACCTCCAAAATTCTCAACACTCAGCAAAACAGATAAATTGCAACTGCATACAAAGACAAACAACAAATTGAAAAAACTATTGATATCACCAACAGTCCAACACACATCAAAACCAAATACTGGGAAAAGAAGAAGAAGGAGAAAGACTACTAAATCTGAAAGCAAATACAAATGCAAATGGAAACTCAAACTGAAATTCAAAAGCAACCCACTTGAAGAAAAGGGACCATTAAACAAAGGCGTGAGGATGAAGCAATCAATAGCAACCATTTGAAAGAAAAAGAACATTTTTTTTCACGTAGAAGCAGTGAGATACCAAACAAAAAAAAGTGAAGAACCCATTACCATTAACATTGGTGGCAGCTCAACTCCAACACACAACAGTGACCATTCAAATGAAAACTCAGCAGAATGCTCTGGCGAGGCGACCCACGAAAGTCCTTTTCGTAAAAATAAAATAGTGGGTCAGTTCAGATAGCAGAGAAGTTTGAAAAGGAGTGCAAAAAAAAGCGTTGAAGAAGCAGAAGAGAAAAGGAATATGAAAGTCATAGTGCATTTTACCTAACCTTTGCAGACTTTTTGCCAAATGGGTTCTCTGTTTGAAAGCGCAGTGTGTGATTTTCAGAACCGAAAAAGGAGGTGGCGGAAATGAGAGAAAAACAAAAGAGAGATATATTTCATGTCAATGAACAGTGTAAAAAGCAGAAAATATTAGCACGGGCGCAAGACAGAAAAGGAAACTGCATCTCACCATCTCACTTGTTAATTGTTGTTCCAAAGACAAAACTTTAATAATCATGCATTTTTATAATCAATAAAAAAATTATTATTTATTTAATTTTAAAATAATTATTATAAAAATTAACGAATTCATGTAAGACCAAATTACTTTCCTCTCTCCTAATAGATACAAATATTACATTATTTTTTAAAAAAATACACACACCTTTTCTTTTTCTTTTTATCTAGGATATTGTAACCATTACTTACATCTCATAAAATAATGCACCATAAATAAAAATTAATCAGAAGACCCATCATTCCATAGAAAAACAATGTGGCCACTTGTGAAATAAATGGAAAATAAATATAGTCCAGAATAAAAGAAAATTATTTATTTTCTCATAAAATGAACAAATTCATACTAATATAGCTGAAAATTGCAATTAATAACGACTATAATGTATAATCAACTATATAAATGATAAAAGTATAAAAGAAATTTTCTTAAATTAAAAATTACAATTTTTTCTTTGGCGGATTTTAATATATGACACCTTGTCTATTATTAAGTTTTTTGTTAACTTTTGTTATAATTTTTTTTTAACCAAAATATCCTTCACATTAACACTGTCATCCCTTCTTGTGTTAAAATAAACATTTCTTTCCTTAACAAATATAAATATTACACTTCAATGAGTTATATCTTGACGAAAAAATAATTTATCTCTTTATATACATATTTAATTATTATTTTAAAAATTATTATGATTTTTTTGAAAGTTAATTACATATTTAAAATAAATATTTAATTATTAAAATATTTTTAAAATTATCAAAAAAAATATTTATATATATAAGTATAATAATTTCAAATACATGTATTTAGATAATATTTAATCAGTATAGTTAATATAATATTTTTATAAATATTTATGGAAAATATGTTTTTATTTTTATAGTATTAATTATATATTAAATTAAGGTAATATATAAGCTATTATATATATATATAAATAAATATTGTACATATATAATTTATTTTATAAATTTTATTTTATTTATTATTTGAATAAATGACTTTAGATTTGATTGTATATTTTATAATTTTTTATTAAGTGAATAAATGATAATGAATTAAAATATTTTAACATATATTTTAAAATCTTAAAATAAATTTTTTTTAGGATATTAAACTAAATACTCTAAATTATATATCTTTATTGTAATAAGAGAGTGATGGTACTTTACTCACATCTCTAAAAGATAAAAGTGTATTTATTCTATATATTAATATATGAATGTAATACTTGCATCTTTCATATGAAGGAACTCAATTTACTTTAAAGAAGTGTTTTTTTTTTTTTGTAAAGATAAGAAAGATTACAAAGATGGTTGCAATGATGATTGAACCTAAATCCTCATGCTTCTAACTACCCCAACCCCTCCCCACTCAACCACTAGGCTAACCCTAGTGGTCTACTTTAAAGAAGTGTTTGGTACATAACAAGTTTTTTATACATGATTTTTGGGGAATCATGATAAATCATAAAAATTTGTTTAATTGATCATAAATGTTTCTAGAAAATTTATTAAATGTTTCCGTTATTTTTTTAAATAACTAACCAAGCGCGAGAAACTAACATTTTCAATGTTAGAATTTTGAGAAATTAAAATCTTTTTATATACCAAATGTCCCTAAAAAAATATCTAGTTAAATAGATGAAATTATATATTTTAACATAAGAGAAGAGAACAATATAATATCCTTATCTCTTAGAAAAGTAGAATTTACTTTATATATAATATTTTTTTTATAAGATATTATTAGTAGAAATTTGATTTTAAGTATATAACCTTTTCTCATAAAAAAGGTTATTAAATTAAATAAAATAAGACATTAACACATATTATATATCTAATAACATTTTTTTTATCTCTTACTTATTGTGACATTATAAAAAGAGTTTAGTGGAGACATTATAAGTAACAATGTAAATCGGTATAAAAAAATAATGTGAAACAAATTTTTATAGTTATATGATTATTATCCACTATAAATGATAAGTTTTTTAACTTTAATAATAATTATTTAAAAGGTCATACAAATTATAAAATTTGATTGGTTGATTGTGTAAAACTTTTTTTATATTAACAATGCATGATTATTAAATTCTTATAGAAAAAAGTTAATTATTCATTTCATCTTTATATTTATACAAGTTTTACCTTTCAATTCATAACTTAAAATTCATCCATTTTAATTCTTATACAAGTATTTTTAGTCTCTGATTTTACATAAAACTTAATATTGTTAATGGTAGATGACTTGGCAACATTAATGTAGCATTGAGATACATTGCTTTTTATGTTTCAGTTCTTATATTTGAGCTATCTTTTTTCTTTTGGTCTCTATATTTTTACTATATATTTATCTTGTGGTTATTATACTTGCATTATATTTATATTTTTTATTTATACTTGTAAAACCTTTATGCTTTTGTCCTCATACTCAGAAACTACATATTTTACTCTTTTTTATGGACATTTTCTTTTGTTTTAGTCTGTGTCAACACTTATCCTTTTTCTTTTTTCCTCCTCCTCTTTTTCCCTTTTCTTTTCCTTCTCTTGTTTTTTCTTTATCAACATCTTCCTCCTCGTCTTATTTTGCGACTTATGTTTCTTTTAAATCTCCTCGTCTTCTTTTAGTAACTTGTTGGTCATTTTAATCTTACTACATAAAAAATTCAAATACATGAAAGTTGTCATTTAATTCATTTTTTATATCATAATGGTTTCGTTATGTGCTCCTACGAAAAATCGCTTTTGGAGGCAATGTGTGGTGAAACAATTTTCATTTTTGATTTTCTTGCAATTTAACAATTGTCAAGTTCTTTTGGCAATTTACATCACTAGTTTTGATTTTGTGATAACGTTAAAAAACCTAAAGTTATATGACAATTGACGACAAGGATTAGAGCATGAAAAATGTTCATATAACAGCGACACCAATATGTAAGCATTAAATGTAACATTTCAATTTTCATAAAATAAAATAAATTAATTATATGGCATTAGAATTTCATCAATTAATTAACTGGATTTTAATTTAAAATTAATAATTAAGAGAAAATGCTTTTAAATATAGTTGTTGAGATTTAATCAAATGAGTTATAAATAAAATAAGAAAGGTTTTTTTGATAATAAAAATGTTTAGCTATTGGGTTCAGCCTTCGAAGTCCAATAGCCTTTGGTTAGACTAGATAGAGGTATTAGTAACCTATTACTCTATTTTCCTTTTTTCATTTTTTATTTCTTGAAATGCTCTATGTCATCAAACCACACGTGGAGGAGTTAGATCAAATCTAAAGGAGAGGAGAAGGATCACGTTGTTGCACCCTTATCTTTGCATGAGCATTTTTCAAATAAAAAGGGAGAGAGACTATCTCATTCATGGGTGTGAACTAATTGTTGGTAGTGGGATTATCCCTCAACTCCATAGGTTCTCTATTGTATGTGTTTGGAGAAGTTTTAAACACCATAAAAGAGTATTGGCTAATATATGAATATTTTTTTATTTGTCTTGTGAATTGATGGATTGGATTATATGAATATATGCAATTATTTTGACTTGATTTCATATTTTAAGGTTTTTGTGATGATTATTGTATTTGATTTGGACATGTGATGTTATTAAACTAGTTGCATGTTTCTCACTTGTAAAACATGAATAATTTGTAGTTAATTAGTGTGGTTTGATGGTTTAAGATGAATCTTGATGGATTTGTGTTATGTTCAGAAACACATAACTAAGAGCATGCACATGTTCAATTGAACATGGTCGTGCTAATGGTGACCGTGACTATGCTCAATGTGAATATGGTTGTGTTGGGTGTAACATTACTGTGTTCCTCTTCTAAAGTAGAAAGGTGAGCTTACAAATTAACATAAATTTGCTAAAGGTGACACAAACATGCTTGGAAAATGGGCGGTAATGTGAGATGGGAAACACATGCATGCTTATGGGTACACGACCATGCTTGGTGGTAAAACCATTGTGGTTGCCTTCATTATGCTTAGCTCAACCATGCTAATGCTTAACATGATCATGTCAATCCCTTTTTGATAGATTTGGCCTTTGCCACTTGAGTTAATAACTTAGAGAATCTAGTGTTAGGACAATCCCTCTGCAATGAGTATGAATGAATTTAGCACTACTATTCAACCTAACATGCATTTGTGGATCTTTCCCCTAACTTATTAATTTTAATTATTAATATATTTTATATTTAGATTGTGATCTTTGTCAATCATGTTGGATGTTCTACATCTTGATAGGTTTCATGTACATTTCTTAAGCACTAAACTTGTATTTTTCTTCATTCTTGTTTCCTTTTGACTTACATTACCCAAAAATATTTTGATGAAAAGTCTTTATCTAATAACTATATTTTTTTAGTTATGAAATTTAATGAAAATATTATATTTAATAAATAAAAATATTTAGTGATATTTTTCTCATATTTATAAATAAACATGGATAAAAGCACAATATAATATATATGAGTTTGCAATTGATGTAGTATGTGTTTGAATAAAAGTCAAGTTCAACTCAACTTAGTTTTACTTCAAAGTAATGATCTTCTTACTTTTAAATTTCATGTATTGAAAATTGAAAATACACATTTCAATATCTTGAAATAGATATTCAAACAAGTCGTGATCTTAATCTTTTAGTTTCCTTAAATATAATTTAATATCATTAAGAATGTTTAATTATATTAAATGCTCAACGACTACATATATAAATATACATTTTTCACACAAACATATAGTTAATTGTTGGATATTGTTTGTGAAAAAAAAATTAATTTGAACGTAAATATAAGAGTAAAATATTCTTGAAATAAATCTTAATGTAATTAATCTAATAAAAAAAATAAATTTAAGTATTAATATAATATTTATTATTATATTTATATATCTAACTTTTTCCTTTATTTTTTTGGGTTTTAAAATATATATTATAAATATTAAAATATCTATTTAAGAATCAAATTTTATCACAATTTTATTTCTAATATTACAAACATATATATATATATAAAAGAATAATCAATGTATTCATATTTTATTATATTTTGAAATATATATATTACGTCAATTTTATTTTATAAGAATGAAGTATCAAATTATTTTAGATTAATATAAAATTTTGTATATATGATCTAAGAGTAAAAAACTTTTAATTTAACAGCTGAATTTATAAAATTCACATTTAATATAAAATTATTAAGCAGTGCAATACTTAATAAAAATTACATTAATATCGTTTATACCCTTCTTTTATATATATATATATATA